TAATTCTCCAATGCAGTGACGGCTCGTCAGGGACGGCAGGGTCGGCCGGGCCGTACCAAATAATTTGGGGAAAATTACTGAACTATTTGATGAATAAAATTATTTTCCGAAACTGTTTTCATAATTCATCGTTCATTATCCTACTGTTATGCCACTATTATTTCAATTTCATTCACTGGAACCTTTGAGTATGTCATCCGCATATTCACCGAAAATCACGAACTAATTCAGGACCTACGACATCTGGTAATTCCATCGTCAAAACGACGCTTTAAGTTGAAACGCTCGCGTAGCTTATTACACTGATGCAGACGGCCGGCCGATCGGTGGTTTCTTGTCTCGAAGCATTGCCTACAGATTCCCCGCTTCAAGTTTAAATTCTCGCGTATACGCGTCATACCTTGGGTACGGCCAAGCTCTGCTGGCCGTCCGTACGTACGTTATCAGTAGTTTGCAGTGCGCTCTCTGTGCACCGTATCCGACCATTCCGACCTAATTTTTAATATACGGATTGGCATGATTTACATTCTATTTTCATTTTACATTGTAGGTATTTATAATGTTTATTCCTATACTTATTTGTAAGTTGATGTTGAAATTTGAAATGTACAAACTGAAAAAAAAAATAATTTCGATGTTTTTGTTCACGCTTGCAGTAGTTGCAGTAAAAATGACTGGTGATTTTTGTTTTTGCAATTTTTCAGTAATTCATAATTCAACATATCCATCTAACATTGGTATCAGAATTTTCCTTCAGTGCTTCTGAGCGTCAATAAGTTATAATTCAATTTGAATATTGTAATGTAACCTACTGTGCCTCTGCCTATGTAGGTGATATGGCAAGAAAAATGTCAGCAGTCCAAGAGCTGAGTAGGTATTGAAACATCGTAAAAAAACTCTGGTGACGAGAATGTATTAAATGTATAACTTCCAGAATATCATTTATTTTCAAAGACGCATGTAGCGGTTATAAATAATATTTATGCATCCATCGCGGGAAACATACCTACGGCTGCACGGCGGGCTCGGTCGGCCAGCCGACTACGAAGGAGTGGGGTGGCGTGGCGTAGACATATTCATATTACATATTAGTCATTGTTGTGCTTTTCGCGTGAGTGGTTGTCGGTTATATTGATTTTTTTGAGTTTACGTTACGTTTTCAACAGAATATAAATATTTTTTGTTCACGAGTTATTTTATTTTCATTTTCTTTCATTTTATTTTTTCGACTTTCTTGTTATTTTTTTTCATACCAACTAACCCTTATCCACCTCCTTTTCCTTTCCCCATTACCCTTGGCGAGAATGCTCTAACCTCGTGGTTCTTGCTGGACAATTTGATTTTTTGGTTATGTGTACATGCTTATTTGCCATCGAACTTCCCAACGTGTTACGTTCGCATTTCTCTCTTTCATTTTAATCCAAAAAATTAAGTTGACGAACTAGAGCAATATCTATACCCTGGCCGACCCAGGTTCTGAGGGCACGAGCCGTCACTGCTCCAATGATTAGATGTACGGTCACAATCAACACCATGATATCTGATGATTTGGACATTTTTATGTTTAGCGTTGAGTGCTTCAAAAAGAAACTGAGGAAGTTCTTAAACACTTGTATTATGCTCACTTAGCCGAATTTCATATATTTTGCTTTGGATCTGTAAACTAGATTAAGTTTTTTTTTTTATATCCTCTCAATTTTTTTTTTGGTATTTCAAGATTACACAATTGTTATTTTTATTGTTATCGTGTGTTATCCTGTTATTGGGCTCGTCCTGTTGGGTAACCTATGTAAATAAATAAATAAATACACTTTGTAAGTTTCTTGATCAGAATTTCCCTGATCAGTGAATAGGTAGATATGGCCCCGTTCATTGGCCTGCACGTTCTACCGATTTAACTCCTCTAGATTTTTTCCTTTGGGGGTACCTCAAATTCATAATCTTTTCTACTCCTGTAGAATCTGTAGAAGATTTGACAGCCAGAACTATAGCAGCAGGCATGCTAATCCAGAATACACCAGGAATCTTCCAAAACGTGTGACAGTCCATGATCAGAAAATGTCAATTATGTATTGAACAAAATGGACGTCAATTTGAATATTTGCTTCGAATTTCATTTTTGTATTTCCTCTAGCACATAAATATTCTATGTGCCAAATAATCTGTCAACATTATTAAATTTTTTTACTTTTTGACATATTGAAAACTTTGCAATCGTTTCCTTAAATTGAAAACTGGCTTACGACAATCAACCTCGAGTTTGTCGATTTACTTCTGACTCACCCACAAAAGGTTTTTAATTCATTCGACATTCAAAAATTACCAGAGGTTGAAAAGTAATATCGATATCTCTTATAATATCAGCATTATGCGATTATGGTACGCAGCAAATTAGTCCTTACTCAATATTACCTCAAGATATGTCTCAAGTTCTTCGCAAATATCTCCGGAACCTCCGGCATGCAGAATGTTATTACTTTTAGGTTGAGTATTGATAATCCTAACTGATGTCATTCACTAATTTAATAATTCATCTGTCTGTGAAAAATTTTGAAGGAAAATGTGGCAACATACGATCCTTACCACGCCACTGTTAACAACATTCAAAAATGAAAGCCCTGTGATCACTCTGATTAATCTGGATTGGTATACCAAGTTCAAAATTTTTTGCTACAGGGGATCTGGAAAAATTCAGAGAAATCTTAACTTTCTTCGTACTTTCGACATTTTAGGACATACGTTGATAGGAACTTTTCATCTCAAAATGAGGTGAGAAATCCGTGTACGAAGTTTGTCGTTCTTATTCTGACTCACCCTGTATAATTATTGTATTGTAAATAAATTTATTATTATGAATAAGCTTATTATCATAAATACTATTATACAGTGCCCGTCTAAAGTCTGTTCCCCTACTAGTTTCATTACCCCCTGGTATATCGCAACGAAATTTGGAAGGCTCAAATAGGATATCAAAAAATTAAGGTGGTACTGCGACAACTATTTTTTTCATTGAAAGCAACATTCAAGTTTTTGATGGGTTTGAAATGAACAAAATGTCATTTTTCCAACGTTAATATTTCGGAAACACTTGAGTTTAGTAGTAGAGTGTATCAGATAAATCTGTTGAGAATTATGAGATTTCAAAAATGTAAATAAAAAATATTCAAACACCCTCTCCTGTGAGGTGAAGCCAAGGAAATAAAATGACATATTATGTTCTCCTATACTTTTCAAATCAACTAGTAGGTAGGTTCCATGTGAGTGGGGCGAATACCCCCCCACCCTCAACTAGTAACTAGTACATGTTTTAATTACTAAGATACTCGAAGATTTTTTTTATATTATATGAATGAATATGATTGGTATTTTCCTTCGAAACCATTCTTCCTATTGCCATGAGATCATAGTTTTTCAGACTACTAGATAATTCTTCATGTGTTAGTTGGAGGAGTACAAATCAGCTTTTTACTTCTCCTTTCCGCAATTACTTCATGGAGTCCGATATAATACATCCCAGTATGGGCTTATATTTTATACGCAGATAGGTTCTCACTAGGCCTCATACACACAATATTCAATGTGACTTTTTGTTCTTCATTCTCCGAATTGTTGCCTTATTCCATTCATCATTAAATTCTGACCCAGATGGTTCAAACTCTTCATGAAAATATCTAACTAACAATTGAGTGAATTTATCTAGAAAATTTCAGATAATTGAAAATGTCATGTCTTCGTCTGCTACTTCCGCTCAACTCGATATGTTAATAATCGATTAAAATGTTCTGGATTCCCATACTTTTTTATGTTTCATAGGTGTTGAGAATTATTCTTAAAAACTATCCTTTCGAACTGGAATAACATCAAACAATACGTACTCATCATTAAAAAATATAAATATATTGATGCTGGTGGATTACATTTTTAACAATTGCTGTGATACATGTGACTCACTGATATTAACTGAATACTTATTGATATTGTTTGCATGATTTTGCTTTCAATTGTTCAATTCAAGTATAGTGATTATAAATTGTTGATAAAATGTCGACATTTAGGTATAATAATTTGATGGTTGATGGTTCGAAATAGTTTGAAACAACACAAAAACTTGGAATAGTAGGAGAGCCGGCTGCAGATTTCTACCGTCATCCGATAACGTAATCGAATGGCACCTGTGCCAATCACTACCCTGAGCAAAATGATGAAAAATTTGAACTTTCCTGTACGGGAATTTGCACTCAATTGAATATCCAAACGTGCTGCGATTCAAACTGATCTAAGTTAGTGGCAGAGCGTCAATATTTCCGTGAATATTCGGCCCTCGTCGAATGATAATATCCGATGGACCAGTGTGAAACTTATGTGGTGCTCACACTACAAGTATTCTAATCCACATGTTGAGTTTTATACTGTCACATCGGAAATTATCGTTATCAACGTGTTATCACATGACGGAAGTATATCCGGAATAATAGCAGCAAATAATTCGCTGTGCCGTGGATTTGGCTAAGACTGAGGGGTGGCACAGGTAGGTTTTTGAAATATACTATTCAATTGGTATCGGATGGCATAATTATTATCTTGTTATCAAATCGCGAAATCGGGGTCAAATTTCCGCACAGGAAAGTGCAATTTTCCAATCATTTGGCTCATGATAGTGATTTGCACAGGTGCCGTTCAATAAACTACAATAGTTTTACATGCCTTTGAGAAATTCGCAGCCGGCTCTTGGACTAGAAGGACTTTGGAACAACTGCGATATAGAAAGTAAGGTGAAGAAATCTCGTTAATACTGCATTAATTCTAATCCACCAGTAGTGCCATAATTATAAATTCAGGAGGGTTCAATTCAAGGTGACTCGAAGAATATGACACGCTTTAACGGTTCTATCAATATGGAAAATTCATACTGCCGATAGTAAGCGTGCTCATTGTTAATCGAACATTACAAATAATATTTTCTGAAAGGCGCTTCTCCAAATATTTCAAATATTTCTCAGCTCAGTCGATTGGCCTGGAAACCCTACCGACACAAGTTTTCTCTGGCGCACAGCTCGATTCCTTCTCTGAAACAGAGTTGGACGAAGCCACTCCCAGAGCGACTGTTTTCTACAGAGTGTCACCCAAGAACAAGTTGTCGATAGTTAAGTCACTACAGAGAACTGGGCATATAGTGGGGATGACAGGAGATGGTGTTAACGATGGCGTTGCCCTGAAGAAAGCTGATATTGGGATTGCTATGGGTAAAAATGGGACGGACGTATGCAAGGAGGCGGCCGATATGATATTGGTTGATGACGATTTTTACACAATCATGTAAGTTTCTGAGGTAATATTTGTGATTTTCCTAACAACTGAGCTTGTGTCGCGTGCACTTCAGTGTGAGCCGGTTGAATCATTTTCAGTCGGCAAAACAAATTGAAAAGTGCAAGTTATGGCTTGTCTTGAGCGCAAGTATTACATTCATAGGGGGACAAGATACCCTAAATGAAATGCCAAATGAGTATATGCTTCGGTTGAGCGATGTGGTGGATAATCAAAATATGTTTTTTCTGTAACGGGAAAAAAGTTTGGCATTTCATCCCTGTTGGCAGGTTATAAAATGTTCATAAATTACTTTTTTCACGTGGGAAAAAAGTGAGAACTTTTTTCCCGGATATATATATATCACATATATATATATACACTGTTGATAGCTTTTGTTGTGCTATAGTTCCGAATAATGAGTCAATAATACCGTCTCCGAGAAAGAACTGCAAGTCCTTTTATCTTCCATTCGACTTCGCGGTTACGTATATTACTAAACAACCAGTGAATTCGCAATTTCTTGAAATCAAATCATAGAATAACACTGACAGAATAAGTGACATCAGATATTTGATTACTTCAAATGAATGATAATGATGCCTACAACGCGGTGTCCCTACTGTTAAAAACTAAAAACTTCAAAATAATGTAATATCTTCTCAATATTGATTCATCCTTTCTTCTGTCACAGAAAAAAATAGTGTATTATACACGGGAAAAATATTAGATTTTAGCTCACAACCTGGAGCTAAAATCTACTACTTTTTTCCCTTGTATAATAAATAACTATAATTCTCATCTCATTGGAATGATGGAAGGTGAGAATAGCGGCAAATATTCGTTAAAAATTTTACAAACTGCATACACATAACTAATTTTTGTTGAAATTCTGTTGGTTGTGTTTTAGTTGTTCTGATATTAAACCATAACATTTTATACTTCACAGTTTTTCATTTCAAATCAGCCACTCACTCATCTTTTCATAGTAGACATTCGTTTTTCACACTCCACTATTATAATTTTATTTCATTGACAAACATCTAATAACAATTGGATCAACTAACATGCTTCTACTACAGATTCATATAAGGAAACCAATTCAGACTCAGTTGTACTAAGTGCTATAGTTGTGTGTTTTCTAGATCTCCAAGCATGAGTATTATTATACAAATTCTTAACATATTCATTAGTTGACTTCCTATCATGATATCTAGCCCAGTCTGCATCAGCATATCCTATCAACGGTGATACTGATTTGTCATAAGTTCCAAAATAAATCAAAGTATAACATATAGTGTCGTCCACATAATGAAGAATTCTCTCCAATGCTTTCCAAAAATTTGCACTTGGGTTTGATCGATATCTGCCTAAATAACATACAGAAGTAGCTGAATCTAGTCTTGAACCTACAGAGGCATCCATAAGATACCCTATCAGTGATCTACATTGCATTTCATATCTCATGTTTGAGTTTTCATCTAATTCAAAATTCACCTTCTTAGGTCAACATTTTGTTTGATTGGTAAGAATTTTGCCTGATTGTTAAATAATTCACTCCAAATTTTGTTGATAAAAATATTTTCTCCTCCAAGCGGCAAAGAAAGTGGCTTTTCTCTGACACTTAACAGGCAGGAAAGGTGTACTTCCTCTGCCTAGGCAGGAAAAGTTTGTTGCTATGCAACGTTCCAAGTAATTTTAATGAAATTGGTTATCAAAATTGACACTGACATTGGGTGAACATAAAATGGTAGAGTTTTCAACAAAAAATTACACAAGATTGGTTCTATAAAATTTGGAGGAAAAAGTATTTGTTTCACACGGCAGCAAATTGATTGACTGTCTTTTTCATTTGAATGAGCTGGACACTCTAGCAGCTGATGCTTCATTCGTCATATACGCCGATGATACGCCTGTTCTGATATTAAAAGACGAGGATTTTCTTCAAGGAAATTGTGAACAGTTACTAAATAACATCTTCTCATGGTGCAGTGCAAACTCACTTCCATTCAACACGGAGAAAACACACATAATGAGGTTTCATAATGCACAGAAAAATATTTCAGAACTAAATTTTATAGTTAATAGTGAAACTTTGACTTCAATAGATAAAGCAGTTTTCTTTAGGATTAACAATTATTGATGAATATGTTAGTTGAGAATTTCCCTGCAATCGCATTGTTCCAAAGCTCTCTCCTTGTACGTCTTGTTTCTTTAACGTCGGCCTTTTTCTGCTACTGGAGCTTATCACCGACGCCGGTGAGCGCACTACCCCCAACCGGAAATTTTGCCGCATCCTCTGGTGTTCCAACCAGAGGTAGGGATTTTTAACGAGTCCAACATCCATGGCCTCGGGACCTTGGGAATTTTAGAAATTCAAAGATGCATAAATAATCCCAATTTCACTTGTCTTCATGATCAAACCAATTTCGAAAGTAGCTTGATTTTTCGTACTTTAAAATTTCCATGATTAGCATCAAAACATATTATCCATATTGGTTTATTGTTGTTCTTCTCCCAATCCCTTGTTCCCGTTGCTTTCTGATTTTTATTTGGTTCTTGTCAATGTCATATTCGACACTGGACTTTTTCCAGATTTAAACCTATTTCAAATTCAGGATTGATATTTTTGTGAAATTCGACCTAGGCTTTTGATTTAATTTGCTCTTAATATGTATTGCTGAGGTTAGTATATCGATTCTCTGACTCTTTCTTGACTCCTTAACAATGTCCATGAATATCTTTTAGGTACTTCTTTTTACATCAATTTTGTGTCTGGTGTTGGCCTGTGGCCGAAACTAGTTACACTACTTATCAAACAATTTTTCGTGGTCGACAGACTTTGGAACTATTATTGCTTCTTCTTTTAAAATTCCTATACATATAATATATCCATTGGAAAATAAATATTGATATTCTCATCATTATCATAAACTGTTTTGTGTCTTTCAGAAGTAATTTGCTTCAGAATCAATAGAAATTCTTGATATGATCATGAGAATCAGTCATTTCCGAAAAAAATCTAGTTTTGCGTGGTCTCATTATCATCCATAAGAACAGAATACACTCATTCAGTAGGATTAAAATATCAGAATTATACAAAACAACGTATTTTTCTTGTTCAAAGTCAGTTGCCTGGCTATATTGTTTTTTTAAATACATGTTTCTTTTTTGCAGTGCTGCAATCGAAGAGGGTAAAAGCATATTCTACAACATTAGGAATTTCGTTATATTTCAGTTGTCAACTTCAATAGCTGCTTTAGCACTAATAGCAGCCACCACGATTCTGGACATTCCCAACCCATTGAATGCCATGCAGGTAATTTTGTGATTTTTAATATTAACTTATGGTAGATTATACCAAGAGTCAATAATAATATCCATTATTGCGAGTAGTATATTCTTCTTCACATACGCCTAATATTACTAAAGCATCAACTTGTGGTTTTCCTATTATAATGCCATATATTATCCCCTCATTCCATCTTATGTCGTTGCAGTGCAAAAACTGAAATACTCAAATTATACAAAATTAGTCCTGAATAAACTTTCGTATTGAGAAGGTGATTCTCAAATGAGTTTTCATGCTCTTTATTATTGATTGATCACTGTTCAAAGAACCACAGACATTTGTGATAGTTCTATGTATGAATGAGATGACAGTTATGATAATGTTATGATGTATTGATGTTGATGTCGATTTTGATGTCGATATCGATTTTGATGTCGATATCGATTTTGATGTCGATATCGATTTTGATGTCGATATCGATTTTGATGTCGATATCGATTTTGATGTCGATATCGATATTGATGAGTAATGACATTGATAATTATATTTGACAAAATTAATTTTAATAGATCACGAAATATAGGAAAACAAAATTCTAATAAAACAGAGCCAGATTGTGAGTTTCACTGTAGAATGCTACGTTATCTTGGCTAGTGCGTTTTCATTCATTGCATTTCATGAAAAAACTAATCCTAGAGTAGAGTGGAATAGAGGAGAGGAGTCTCAATGTTTTGAACTCGCGTTTGCGATACGCATGTTTACTTAATTAACTAATTGTCTTTTTGGGTATAGTGACTTTTTTTTTTGACACATCAATTGCTGAAAAACCCAAGTTATTAAACTTTTCAAACATTGCTATTCATAAATTCCAGAAAATGAGAAAAATTTCATTGATATTGGGTATTTGAAGTGCATCAAACAACAGATTGGTATATACATAATTATATTTTTGGCAGAACTATATACCATCACTTATGGAAGACGATTATTCTGTTTTTCAAGTCTTTTCAACGCCATATGAAATTTAGGTCCAGTCAGATGGAATACCAGCCCACCACGGTCACCGTACCCAACTTCCATAGACTTTCACTACGAGAGAATGAGAATAACTAAAAATCAAGGGTACTTGAATAGACCTTGAAATAAAAAGTTACATCTAGAGAATAATTAAGGATGAATAAAACTAAGGATCTTCAACAATGATTGAATACCACATGACCAAAATGTGTTTGCAACCAACACTGCATAGTTGGTAAAGATATAACTGGAGATTAACATTTGCTATCACAATAAAACATATGCCTACTGAAAAATTCTTGAAGCTGGGTTGTAATTTCCCTGAAAACTTCACACCTAACATTTTCGATCAATTAGAAGCCTGTATTCTGTATCGTTATCATAGCAACCAAACACATTTCTGGAAATTCTTTCCTCCTCCTTGTGGGAAGGAGCATGAAATCACACTGTGAATTTTTCAACTATTATAGGTAAAATGACATTTACATTTTGAGACCACTGGTGAAAAAGGGGGAATATCAAAACAAGTAAGTTTCGAGAAAAAAGCATTTCAAAGTTTAACACCTCCTTACTTTTTGGAAGTTGGAGGAAACTGGAATAAAACCACCCGGATTCATTTGATGGAGTATAATGAGCAATAAAGTTGAACAACTAGTAATAAAAATCATATTTGAATGAGAAAATCACCGGAAACAAAAATTAACTCCAAAGATTCTAGGGAAAAATGGGGAAATAAATTGTCAAAAAAGAGGATTGTTTACTCGCAGATATCTGTTTTGGTACATTTCTTCATCCTTGCCTGACTACCTAATAAGCAGTAAGTTGTCATATAGTACAGTCGTATTCAATAAGAAAGCGTACAAGTATTAAACATAGAATATTTCGGCATTCTAGTTCTCGTTGTGTAAAATTGGCTCAGCCAATGCTTTGTGTTTTTGGGAACCTATGATTACTCTACTGTCAACATTTGGTAAACATTCATTCCCGATAGCCCTTTTTACGCAAATAGGATGACGTTAATTTCTCCCTCCAATATACTTGTACGCTTTTTTTTTAATACGACTGTACATCTAGCTTCTGTATACTATATGAATAGTGATCATAATGTAGCAATCTCATTATTTCAGTCCCATCACTCAGACGTACTCGACAAGCCAAGTCAGCACACCCTTTTGTCGTTAACCTCGAAGTATGTCGTACAACTTTTTACCAAAACACGTTTATACATAGAACGGCAAATATTTGGAATTTTTTGCCAAACATAGTATTCCCAAGAACTCATAATCTCCAAAAGTTGAAAGAAATCACAATACCTCCTCTCCCTATCCTCCCTAGATACCCACCAAGTTCACCGACCATAACGCTCCGTATCTCTTTTTTTTTTCTCATCTTTTGTTTGCCTGAGAGTTCACTTTGAATGATCTAAGGTGCAAATATGATATATATGATGATTTTACCTGCGTGAACTAACAAAAATTTATTGGTTTCATACGAATCTGGTCACGTGGTTTTTAATCATTATTGAGGATCCGGTCAAAAAAGGGCCTCGAAAGAGGACAAATCTTATGAACAATATAACACAAGCATGCTCTGAAGGAAGTGGTTCTAGAAAAATGTACCATACTGGTCTCTGCTTCTAAATCAATTAGTTCTGCTATCAGCTATAACCTCGACAGTGATATGTAGGATATCCTATTTCTGACAAATTGTTCTACAGGTCAATTCAAATGATTGCTTCAACGAACGGGTTGTCATGACACATCATCATTTGTTTTTTGTGTTACCAATTACCAATTAAGTTCTAATCATATTGAAAACAGCGTAATTCGATGTTTTTCAGATATTATGGATCAATATTATAATGGACGGACCACCAGCTCAAAGCTTGGGTGTTGAGCCTGTAGAAGCAGATGTAGTTAAACAGAAAGCTAGGAACACTAAAGAACACATGATTACGAAAAGACTAATAATTAATGTTTTACTTCCTGCTATCTTTATCATTGCAGGCACATTATGGGTATTCCAAAAAGAGGTGAGTATCAAATGATATATGTATTATGATGAAAGGTTTAGATAGCGTCCACTTTATTCACGATGAATTTGAGCAGAAACGAGCGTGTAGTCTGAACGACTCTTAAACGAACATCAATATGTACATTCACACAGAAGCACATAATTCAAAATAAATTGTAGTCATAGAAACAGTTTCAAAATATCAAAACAGATTTCAAATCGAGCGCAGCTCTGAATATGTTTACTCTGAATGCCGTATTAGTTAGGGGAGTGGAATTTATACATTATTTCTTCGAACGTCAGAAAATTATGACATTCTCTGATTCCATTCCCGGGATAACACATAAATTCACTTGCCGAAAGTATCGTTGCTAGGAATCTTGTTCTTCCGAATCCGCTGACGATTGAAGATGGGTTGAGATGTTATAATGTATTTTCATTCGGATACACAGGCTGCTCCTTATAAACCGCACATTAGACGTATTTGGAGTTCTAAAAATGATCTGAATTTCAATACAGGGATTATCGATTGGGTCCTGTTGGATGAGAATATTCTCAAGGTGGCGGAACGTCCGGTTATACTGGAAGTGGCCATGAACTTCGTTATTTTGTACTGAAAGCTATATTTATATTGATTTTCCAGATTCCTTACGTTATTTTGGGATGATCTTCATTTGCATTCCCTAAACTTGGGTCTAGCCGTTTCGCGATATGTAGACTTTTGAATCCTTTTTCCATTCCATTCCATTTTGAATATATCGGAATCATTTTCAAGCGTAAGAAGAGGAAAAATTGTTTTTTTTTGTATCATCATGATGTGGGAAAAACGATTAGAAATCTGTCAAATTTGGGAAAGTTCAAGTAGCCATTCCTATTTCTTTTCGTATGGAAGAGAATTTCACTCCGCATTGATCTGTATAAATTTTTTCTATACCTCTCAAGATATTGACAAAAATTCATCAAATTATCAAGTACAGTTTATACATAGTTAGCTATTGAAATGAGAAAGGTGATGATTTTGTTCAATGAACTTCTTCTTGTCAGATTATACGGAAAATGTAAAGAAATTGCTTGCGAACAGTCGAACAGAACTTATCGTTTATATAACGAGAAATATCCACACTTGCAACCCATGAATTTAATTCTCAGAATCATTTATTTATTTATTCAGGAACTCAAGGGAAGTCTTGAATTCAGATCAAACACTTAATATTTACCATGGACAGATGTAATATGGTGTGTGTTTTTGGGGTTGGACCACACATGCAAATACTATTTTTCTTCTACAAAAACGAATAATTAGAACTATTTATGGCGTTTCGGGACGGCATAGTATTTTCATGAAATTGAACATCCTAACATTACCTTCACTTGATATATATGAATTATGCAGTTATATCTTCAAAAATAAAGAACAATTTATCAGGTAGCCGTTCGGACAGAGTGTCAATATTCTAATCCGCATTCGTTTGCCAGTCGTGGGTTCGATTCCCATCGACTGCAGACATTTTTCTGATGGCCCAAGAGAGTGTTTGGGATCACACTTTAAAAGGTAGGGCCCCCGTCATTCCTTGCTCGCACGAGTCTCTACTTCTGAGGGTTGCTCGTAAGGGGGCAACCGAATGACGGATAGAACAATAACAACTACTACCGATCTCCTGATAGTGCTGATTCGATTTCTTTCAATAGATCACCTGATAAATTAAAATGTTTTACTCTCCAAAACTTCAGGAGAAAGCTAAAATTGCTCCTCATTGATAAATGTATTTATTTAGTTGATGATTTTTTAACGTGTGATTTTATTCAACCAATTGTGATTGTGACAGTTACATAATAGGCAAGTGGACTATTTTTTTTTTGTAAATGAATCGTCACTCTATTATCTTTCAATTCCATAATTTTTTAGATCATTTCGAATGAATTTGAGAAAGTTAATCAGATCACTACTCAGATGGTGATCATTTTGTACATTTTTTTAAATGATTCAGCACCGTTACATTTCTCAAGATTTATTAATACACATATTCAACTTTGAAACTTCTAGCTTTTCATGATGATACGAACATTTCAAAATTTCTACTCAATCCGATGAACTGTCTCAAATTTATTCGAGGTGAATCAGGATACTTTTCATTGAACTCCCGTCATGTTCTCTAAAATTCTTGTTACATTGACCAAAAATGATTGATAAATCCATGAAAATCACATTCGAGTAATTATTTTCTGCCATAGTCCTTTCACACCTATGGAACTTGAATTCACAGGATGACAATGAAGGAATTATATGTCAGTTCTCTGTCATAATGAAGTTCATAGCCTACTACTATCTAAATCACTATCCAATAATAATTTTATTGAATACGAATTCATAACAAAAATGAACATAACTAACAAACTGTACAGGATAGGTATAGAGAACTTAACACAGTTAAATGGTAAAATCTCTCAACTTTCCTAATGAGTAATAATATACCGGGTTTTCCATGAAAAAACTGAGTTTCAGTCATTTTCATGAGTCTCCGAAAGGAAGTTTCTTCTGAACCCCGAGAATGCTCAATGGTCTTATGCCACTATGACATGAATCACAATGTTCTGTGAATTTCAATTGTGAAAAGATCGTTGTGTTTCATGGGTAAATTTTTGCAAAAAACAATTGACAAGTTATTTTTCATCGCGAAAACTGTAAGGTATAGGGAATTATCAAGAAAAGTTATGCGGAATCTTATAATAATATTTTTTTATTCTGTTTCCTCAAGTAATTCTCAAAAAAAAATACTTTCTAGGAAAGGGGTTCATTTAGACCTAGTTAGGTTAGCTTTTTGAAAGGAATATCATCAGATGTATAGTGAACATGGAAAAAATGGATACATATTGATAATTTGAAAAAAAATTATTGAGTACTCGCATTCTCTCTGATAAAAATATGAATCATTTTTCGATATATTCAACAGAAAACAACTACTTTCCTAGATATATGCCACGACGAACATTGAATACATCTTTGCCAAAGGGAGTATTTCCAATAACTTATAACCTCCAAAAGTTCAAAAATAATTCCAATACCTACCTTCCCTCCCTATCTTCTCTAGGTACGCACGATGTGCCTCGAACATTTTAGGAATCCTCTGTACCAAAATACCTCGATCAGAGATCACTGCCTTACAGATATCTGTCCGGGCTGATCAAGTACCGCGTTAGATTCCTATCAGTCTGCATCCTTACCGATACCTACCTTGTTTGACCCTCCTTCAGGTGTCGCTAAGAGTTTAAGATTGCAATATTATTGAACGTCGCAGTAGGTTCTTGCGCCGTCTTGTCCTGCAAACTCGAAAATCTTGATGCTGAAGCTTGGACTTTGTATAAGGCTGTTAGAAGCCATTTTCATACGCATTAAGCAATCTAAAAGCCTTTGGGTGTAACTGCCAAATAATAGCGTGCTACTATGAGCCAGGGTGCCTGGTTTTATGTAAGTCACTATTATTATGTATAGGAGTCGCTATTTTTCTACTATTCTACTACTACTACTTCTACTATTCTACTGATATTTAAAGCGTGTTTGAGGTTAGGTAAGGTGCCGGGACTGATATGATTACGCAATTTCAGATTGGTGTATGCGGCGAATAAATTGTCTAACGGACCTTCGCATTTGCCTTATTTGTGAAACAACCCCAACCCGTACACCTCTTTCTTGCACTTCCAAATAATAAAAAAAAAACAAGAATGAAGACTAAAGTTGCAAGTGAGGTTATTTTTTCTTGTATATCGAGAACCCCTGTATACAAATTTTCTGATGTGTCATTTTTAGAATTCCAAATACGTCTAATGTGCGGCTTAGACAGAACAGCCTGTATATCGTGGACGTTTGGATAAAGTAGAACATGTTTCATTTGGAAATGAATTATATGAGTATTTCACTTCAAGGAACTACGAAGTTAGCATAACTTGTGTTTTTGAGAATCAAGTGAAAATTTCATATTTTGGTTTTCAACAATTATCATTATTATTATTATTATTTCCATGAAGTAACAGTCGGGTGAGTTGAAAATTTGAGTTTTTTGTGGATCGTTTATAATTAATTCCAAACATACCACAGAAAAAACAAGTTGACTGAAATCAAAATTTTTTCTAGTAACGCTCATGCAATTCCATGAAGTTTTAGGACTATCAATAATTAAGTCTGCAAATTTCCTCATTGTCACTATTGAATTTACAGGAATATGACTATTACAATCATAGCATCAGTCATGTCTTACTAGGATGAATACGACATTTCCATTTGAGGATTGAAGTTTTTTCTTCTCAGTATGTTTCCTCATCCTCAAACTATCACATATAACTCTGCCACATAATATTTTTTTCACCATCAACCCTAGGCCCACCACTTACTCATTTTCAAGTCGGGGTCTCTCATTACCAAGTCAAGGTAATCTATGGAAAAAGAAGGTAACTCAAGGTCATCTCCACAACTTTTGTTAAAATGATCAGCGATCATTCGTAATGTAACATTTTTCGGGCTCATGTAAGCCCATCATCAGCCTTACTATCATACTCCTCCCCCATCTTTTTCTGCTCAACTATTTTGAATTTACTGAACCAGAATCAAATATATGTATAAATATAAAAAAATACAGATTTGCTCAATGCGCATGATCCTTTCGTACAATAGACGTACTACTATTACAAAAATGTTGAACAGACTAGGTCTCAGTAAAATATTTTTCATTGTACTTATTTTTGTACACAAAATAAGCTATGGCAGTATACCCACAGAACTCATAATCTTTATATCTTACGACCAGAACGGGAAATTCCTTTACATAATTGTCAGATGTCAGCTTAATGTTTTCAATGTCAGTATATCAGGGCGGTTATATATCCTTCCGAATCGGAGTTAACATTACTTCCAACACCATCTCTTTTATGATGGCGTCTCCTATTGCTAAGAGTTGCTCTATACTTAGTGTTACCTCATCATAATTTTTAGGAAGATCAGCTACCTGGTTCATTCTTAGTCTGCAT